TGTTTAAATAGTGATTTTCAAGGCTGGACTTGGTGACCTTGGAGGTCTTTTCCATCCTCAATGATTCTGAGTTTCTAACATGTGGGATGCTCCAGGGTTTGGGATTTAGGGAAGGAAAAGCCTCCTGGGAGGCAGGAGGGGGGATGAGGAAGGGTTGGGGCTTCAGGGCTGTAGTATCATCCAGAGGTTTGGGTCCTCCTGGGAAAACTGTCAGAAAGTCACTTTGCTTGGGTTTATCCCTAAAAAGCTAAACTGGTTCCTAACAGCACTAAACTCCCACAGTCTGGGGCATTCCTGGGAAAACTCCCTTTGTGCTGTTCGGGAATGTCAGGGATCCGCGTGTCAGCCGGTTTATCCCAGGGGAAGCTCCAGGGAAATGCAGCAAAAAGCTCCTCAGTGGAGGGCAGGAAGCACTTCAGGCTCCGGGGGGGGCGGTGTGGCAGCTCAAGTCTGAGCCACGGGGTTACCGATGGGCAGAATTCCCAAAGTTTGGGCTCCCTGAGCAGGCCAAAGGGATGCTGTTGGCAGCCAAAGGAGGAGGCGGATTCAGCTGCCCCATCCCGGCTCTTCCTGCCCTTCCACCCCTGGAATTGTCCCTGCTGGAGGTGACATCCCCCAGGCAGGATCCAGGCTTGGGGAACATGATCCCTGCACCAGCTGGGGCGGGAATTTGCTGGCAGTGCCCTAATTAACAGAGCCGGGAGCCAGTGCCGGGAATCCATCGGGAATTAATGAGGGATCGTCCCGGACTGCGGGAAGGGCAGAGGGAGGACTGGAGTGACCCCGATCCAGGGGATGGAGCTGTTTGTTCAGGGAGGGCAGGCCCAGGGAGCAGGAACCTATTTTTGTCCTTCACCTCAATCCCCAGAGTGACCCACAAACCACATCCCGGGGCTGCGGGGCCGGATCAGGTCACGGCTCTGCCCCAGGGAGGGCTCGGAGCTCCGGCGGGAATTCGGGCGGGAATTCAGGCAGGAACCGGCTCTGCAGTGCCTGGAAAAATATTGATTGATAAAGGGATTTAAATATTGATAAAGTGTTTTAAAGTTGAGAAGAGGTTTTAAAACTGAGAAAGGATTTGAAAATTATTAAGGATTTTGAAATTGAGAAAATATTTGAAAGTTGAGAGAGGGTTTTAAAATTGAGAAAGGATTTCAAAATTGAGACAGGATTTCAAAGCTGATAAAGGGTTTTAAAACTGAGAAAGGAGTTTAAACTTGAGAGAGGATTTTAAAGTTGATAAAGGGTTTTAAAACTGAGAAAGGATTTCAAAATCGAGAAATGATTTTAAAGTTGAGAAAGGATTTTAAAATTGGAAAGGGTTTTAAAATTGAGAAAAGATTTGAAAGTTGAGAGAGGGTTTTAAAATTGAGAAAGGATTTTAAAGTTGATAAAGTGTTTTAAAACTGAGAAAAGATCTGAAAGTTGAGAGAGGGTTTTAAAGTTGATAAAGGGTTTTAAAGTTGAAAAAGCATTAGAAAATTGAGAAGGATTTTAAAGTTGAGAGAGGGTTTTAAAATTGAGAAAGGATTTTAAAATTGAGACAGGGTTTTAAAGCTGATAAAGGGTTTGAAAATTGAGGAAGAATTTTAAAATTAGACAGGATTTTAAAGTTGAGAGAGGGTTTTAAAATTGAGAAAGGATTTTAAAATTAGAAAATATTTAAAAGTTGATAAAGGGTTTTAAAATTGAGAAAGGAGTTTAAACTTGAGAGAGGATTTAAAAGTTGATAAAGGGTTTTAAAACTGAGAAAGAATTTCAAAATCGAGAAATTATTTTAAAGTTGAGAAAGGATTTTAAAAATGAGACAGGATTTTAAAGTTGATAAAGGGTTTTAAAATTGAGACAGGATTTTAAAATTAGAAAGGGTTTTAAAGCCAATAAAGGGTTTCAAAATTGAGAAAGGATTTTAAAATTAGAAAGGTTTTAAAGTTGAGAGAGGGTTTTAAAATTGAGAAAGGATTTTAAGGGAGGATTTTAAAGTTGATAAAGGGTTTTAAAACTGAGAAAAGATTTGAAAGTTGGGAGAGGGTTTTAAAGTTGATAAAGGGTTTTAAAACTGAGAAAGGATTTTAAAGTTGATAAAGGGTTTTAAAATTGCTGAGGGGTCTGGCAGAGGGTGGGGTTTGCCTGTGTTTCCCGGTGCCCTGTGGGATGGTCTCCTGCAGCTCCACCACCAGTGGAGCCCAGGAAAGCCGAGATTCCCTGAGGGAATGGTTTGGTGGTGGGTTAAGGGTTGGACTTGATGGTCTTAGAAGGGCTTTTCCAACCTGAATGATTCTATGACTCTTAAAATCACAGAGTCCCAAATGGTTTGGTTGGAAGTGAACCTAAAGCTCATCCCGTTCCAGCCCCTGCCATGGGGAGGGACACCTCCCACCAGGCCAGGTTGCTCCAAGCCCCGTCCAACCTGGCCTTGGACACTTCCAGGGATCCAAGGGCAGCCACAGCTTCTCCAGGAATTCCATTCCAGCACCTCCCCACCCTCACAGCCAGGAATTCCTTCCCAATATCCCATCTCTCCCTGCCCTCTGGCAGTGGGAAGCCATTCCCTGTGTCCTGTCCCTCCATCCCTTGTCCCCAGTCCCTCTCCAGCTCTCCTGGAGCTCCTTTAGGTGCTGGAAGGGGCTCTCAGGTCTCCCTGGAGAGGAGAACCTCCAGGTGAACATTCCCAGCTCTCCCAACCTGGCTCTGGGGCAGAGCTGCTCCATCCCTTGGAGCTCCTTCCCGTGATCCCGCCCTGCTCCGGGCTGGAATCCACCGGAGCTGCGGCACCGGGACCACCTGGCATTTGGCATCTCTGTCACCTTGAGAGCAAATTAATCCAAATAAACCTTAATTCAAACAACCCCCCCCAGCAGCCCCAGTGCAGGGGCTCACCCTGGGCCTGCCCAGAGCTCTCTCCCGGTTTCCCGGAGCTTCCCGTGGCACAAATGCGGCGCGTTCCTTTGTTCCTGTTAAACGGAGCCGGGAGCTCATCCGGGAGAGGTCAGTGCTGGGAGGGCCATGAAATATTTAGTGGTGTGTGGTGCTGACCTACTTTGTGTGCACGCTCCCAGCACAGCGCCTGGGGCTGCGGGAAGGAGCCGGCACGGAAAAGGAAGGGCGGTGGGATGTGGTGGGACACGGAGGCTCCCGGCCAGGGCCCTGGGAGGGGGCTCCTGGGACCCACCCGTGATGGGAATCTTGCCTGGGTGCTTTCATAGAATCATAGAATCAGCTGGGTTGGAAGGGACCTCCAAGATCATCAAGTCCAACCTTTGATCCAACCCCACTGTGGTTCCCAGCCCATGGCACTGATGCCACATCCAGTCTCATCTTAAACACCTCCAGGGATGGAGAATCCACCACTTCCCTGGGCAGCCCATTCCAATGGCTGATCACCCTATCTGGAAAGAAATTCTTTCTAATATCCAACCTAAAGCTCCCCTGGCACAGCTGAAGACTGAGCCCTCTTGTCTTGCTGATTGTTTCCTGGGAAAAGAGACCAACCCCCACCTGGCTACACCCTCCTGTCAGGGAGTTGTAGAGAGTGAGGAGGTCTCCCCTGAGCCTCCTCCTCTCCAGGCTGAACAGCCCCAGCTCCCTCAGCCTCTCCTCATAGGACTCGTGCTCGAGTCCCTTCCCCAGCCTCGTTGCTCTCCTCTGGACCTGCTCCAGGACCTCAATATCCTTCCTGAACTGAGGGGCCCAGAACTGGACACAGCACTTGAGGTGTGGCCTCACCAGTGCTGAGTCCAGGGGAAGAGTCACTTCCTTGGACCTGTTGGCCACACTGTTCCTGATCCAGGCCAGGATCCATTGGCCTTCTTGGCCACCTGGGCACACTGCTGGCTCATGTTCAGCTTCCTGTCAATCCCAACTCCCAGTTCCCTTCCTGCCTGGCTGCTCTCCGGCCACTCTGTCCCAGCCTGGAGCTACCGGGGGTTGTTGTGGGCAAAGTGCAGGACCCGGCACTTGGCCTGCTTGAACCTCATCCCGTTGGAATCAGCCCAACTCTCCAACCTGTCCAGGTCCCTCTGCAGAGCCCTCCTGCCTTCCAGCTGATCAACACTCCCCCCCAGGACTTCCATCCATGTGGAAGGATCCCCTCCATGTGGAAGGATCCCATCCCTGTGGAAGGATCCCATCGTGGGGTGGCACCAGTAGGAGTGTTGATGATCCCAGAGTTGCTGGGGGTTTGTCCCACAGGGGAGGCACGTGGACCTTGGGCAGAACTGCTTCCAAAGTGATACATTCCAAGGAAATGTCAAAGAATTCAACCAAGCCAGGCTGGACGGGGCTTGGAGCAACCTGGGATAGTGGGAGGTGTCCCTGCCCGTCCCAGGGAGTGGAATGAGATGATCTTTAAGGCCCCTTCCAACCCAAACCATTCTGGGATTCATGGCCTGATGGCTGATCTGGCCTGAGGGTTTCTTTGGAGCATCTCGAGTCCCTTCCAGCCCTTTTGCTCTTGGTTTCGGACCATCCTGCAAAGGGGAGGTTTAGGCTGGATATTGGGAAGATTTCTTCCCCAAAAGGGTTGTCCAGGCCTGGCACAGCCGCCCAGGGTGGGGGTGGATCTCCATCCCTGAGGGATTTAGGAGCCCTGTGGATGTGGCACTTGGGGACACAGGTCAGTGGAGGCCTTGGCAGTGCTGGGGGAGGGCTGGACTCGATCTCAGGGGGCTTTTCCAGCCTCACCAATTCCGTGATCCCACGAATTCCCGCTGAGCTCCCCAGCTGTGTGCTCGTGCTCATGTGGAGCAGCCCTGGGGAGGGTCGTGTTTACAGAACCCCCTTCTCACATTTGGATGAACCACAGCCACCCCTGGAATTCTGATGGAACAAAACCAATCCCAGGCTTGGCTGGTGGTCTCCTGCAGCCCTTAAACCCCATCCCAGGCTTGGCCATGGCTCTCACTCCTCTGACGAGTTCCCAGCCTCGAAAAGCCCGATTTAAAGCCCAGTTTATTAAATTTGACGAGTTTGCTAATTTGTGGCTCCCTTCCCCACCACAGACAGGCCGGATCGAACCCAACTACCCCAAGGTCTGTGGGCACCAGGGCAACGTGCTGGACATCAAGTGGAACCCCTTCATTGAGAACATCATCGCCTCCTGCTCCGAGGACACCACGGTGAGTGGGCACCTCCTGCCTTTCATTCCTGCACTTGATACAGAGATACATTTCTATTAAAATATATAAATATATGGCAGATATAAAAATATAAAATTACTAGGTGCATAATTAATTTTTATTTATTTATTTATATTTACTATGATTTTAATTAATTTTAATCATTATACATTTTATAGTTATGTAATGTTTTATAATATTTTATGACAATATTTATAGTTAATTTAATTTTTAATGTAATTTATAAAGTCTTACTTGATAAATTATTAAGTATATTAAATATATACATGTTTATATATATTTCTATATTTCTATAAATTTATATTTTATTATTTATTTTTATATAAATATATATGTCTATATGTATATATACATGTAAATATATAAACATATATTTCTATATTACTGTATATTCATATTTTATTATTTATTTCTATATGAATATATTTCTATATTTATATATACATATAAATATATAAATATATATTTCTATATTACTATATATTTATATTTTATTTATTTCTATATGAGTATATTTCTATATTTATATATACATATACATGAATATATATTTATATATACATATGCACATATGAAAATATACAGAAATTTATGCATATATATTTCTATATAAAAATATATATTTATGTATATCTTTATACATATAAATATGCATATATTAAATATATACATAGATTTATGCATTTATATATTTATACATAATTTATATTAAATTAATTACGTAAGTAAATATAAATATATGTTCAAATAGATATTTATATCTATTATATCCATTATATATATTATATTTATTTATATTTACTTATATATTATTTATTTACTTATATATTATTTATTAAACTCCTGGATTCATGGAGTGATGAGCAAAAGGCATTTTCCATAAAGATGGCCCAATCTAGGACCCCCAGCCTGGAAAATGTATATATTTAAAATACTTAATAATTTATCAAGTATGACTTCAAAAATCCCACTTGTTTAGCAACCCCTGTCCTCTCCAGATGCTCTCCAAGGGATTCATGATCTGTCCTCACTGCACAACCAGCAGCAGGGCTGACCCTGGAATTCCTGAAATGCTGTGAAGTCTTTTTTTGGGAAGGAGCTTTTAAGGCCAGGACAAACCAAGCAGGAAGGGGAACAGGGGAATTCTCCAGACTCCAGAAGTGTTTCAGCTCCTTGTTTCCCACGTGTTGGAGCTCTCTGTGCACACTGAGCTGTGCAGAGCTCGGGGGGGGGGTTTGCAGCACCGTGTCCTGTTTGCAGGATTCATTTCCTTGTGGAAAGTGGTGTTTCAGGAACAATTTTATTGAGGAGGTTTCTTAGGATGGGTTGGGAGAGGAAACCTCTGTGTCCCACCCCTCCTGCTCTCCCCGTGTGCTGGAATTGCTGCTGGGGCTGTTCCTCTGGGGCCTTTTTAATGAGACTTTTCCCAAAGCACCGTTTCCATGGCAGGCTGGGCTGAATTTTGGGTGAGCTCCGGCTGTGCCTGTCCTGCCAAGAGGGCAGTGTTAGTGCTGTGCCCATCCCGACACGTCCATTTCCAGGTCACGGTGACTGTGGGGAAACCTGCCCAAAATAACCCGTCCCTGGCGCTTCCCCTGGTTTTTGGCAAACACAAGGGATGATGTAACCGGGACAGGCCGCAGAGGTGACGCTGCTGCAGAGCCCTGGCCGTGATTCCCAGCTGGGCAGGGATGCAGGACGTGTTATTCCCATTCCTGGGCTGCCTGCCCTGCAGAGCTGAGGTGACACCACGTGGAGCTTTCCCTGTGTCCTCCTGGGCTGGTGCTGCAGGAGCCTCTCCGGAGTGAGGAGCTCTCTCTGAGCTGGAGGTTTGGTAACAGTTGTTTCATAACCCACTGCTTTCATAACCAGCTCCTCCAACACCCAACAACCAGCCTCGTGTGGCTTGTCCTCGGCTTGTGTGGCTTGTCCTCGGGTTGTGCCGTGTCTGAAATCCTCTGATGCTCTTGGAATTGTCCCTTGGAGCCACAGCAGCCTCAGAGCCGTGCCTCTCTCACAGCTCCCGTCCCTCTGCACCCCAAGAGCAGGGTCTCCCTCCTCGAAACAGGCAGGAAATCCTCCTGCAGGTTTTTCACTGCAATAATTGGGAAGTAATTTTTGTGGCCCCCCCCTTCCCAGATGGACAGGACAACCCTTGGGGTGTGGGGGAAGAGAGGGAGGAGCAGCTGAAGGGGCGGCAGGATCAGCCTTTGGCAGGCTGGGAGAGCTGGGGGGGTTCATCTGGAGAAGAGAAGGCTCCAGGGAGATCTGAGAGCCCCTTCCAGGGCCTAAAGGAGCTCCAGGAGAGCAGGAGAGGGACTTTGGATAAGGAATGGAGGGACAAGACACAGGGAATGGCTTCCCACTGCCAGAGGAGAGGGACCTGGGACAAGGACATTGTGGCATTAGGGTGGGGGGTGAGGCTGCCATCGAGGTACCCCAGGGATTCAGCAGCTCAGAGCCCCCAGGAGGGTGTTGAGGTGTCCTGGGGCTTCCAAACCCATCCCAGCGCCCGCCCCATCCCACAGGTGCGGATCTGGGAGATTCCTGAGGGGGGGCTGAAGAGGAACATGACGGAAGCGGTGCTGGAGCTCTACGGGCACAGCCGGCGCGTGGGGCTGGTCGAGTGGCACCCGACCACCAACAACATCCTCTTCAGTGCCGGCTACGACTACAAGGTGAGTCCTGCCCGGGAACCCTCCAGCTCTGCCGGGAATGCCCTTGGGAAGGCCTGGAGAAGAGGAGGCTCAGGGGAGACCTCCTCACTCTCTACAACTCCCTGACAGGAGGGTGTAGCCAGGTGGGGGTTGGTCTCTTTTCCCAGGCAGAGATCAGTAAGACAAGAGGGCTCAGTCTTCAGCTGTGCCAGGGGAGGTTTAGGTTGGATATTAGAAAGAATTTCTTTCCAGAGAGGGTGATCAGCCATTGGAATGGGCTGACCAGGAAGGGGGTGGATTCTCCGTCCCTGGAGGTTTTAAAGATAAGACTGGATGTGGCATCAGTGCCATGGGCTGGGAACCACAGCGGGGTTGGATCAAGGGTTGGACTTGATGATCTGGGAGGTCCCTTCCAACCCAACCGATTCTGTGATTCTATGATTCTATGATTCTGTGATTCTTTCACTGCTCGTGGCACGGGGAAGGTCACCAGGGTGTGATCACGGAACAGTTTGAGTTGGGAGGGACCCGGAAAGATCCCCCTTCCATGGGGCCCGGGTCGCTCCAAGGCGCCTTCCTGCAGGTCCTGATCTGGAACCTGGACATCGGGGAGCCGGTGAAGATGATCGACTGCCACACAGATGTGATCCTGTGCATGTCCTTCAACACGGATGGCAGCCTCCTGGCCACCACCTGCAAGGACAAGAAGCTGCGCGTGGTGGAGCCGCGCTCCGGGCGGGTCCTGCAGGTGCCACGGGACGAGGGGGTTGGGAATAAGATCTTGGGGAGGAATCCCGCTGGAATGTCCCAAAACATCCACGAGGTGCTGCACGTGCTCGTGGTGAGGCCCTTGGCACAGGGCAGGGGCTGCAGGTGATCCTCTGCATGGGGAGGAGGGTTCTTTCATCAGGTGGAGGTGATGGGGAGGGCTCGGCCTCATCCCAAGCCTCATCCCCCCACCGGGTTGGAGGGTTTTATTCCTTTGTTAATGAAGGATTTGTGGAAAATAGTGGAAATTCAAGGGGGAGGTGCAGAGGTCACAGTTTGGAGGCAGGTGGTGGGTTCTCAGTAAAAGTGGTCTCTGATATTCATGGAAATGGGCGTTTTTGGCTTGCACAGGGACAGGTCCTGAGTCACAGTGTCCCCACACTGCTGGGGACAGAGCTGTCACGTCCCAGGGATGAGGTGGGAGAGGAGAGAGGGGGCAAGGAAGGGGCTTTCCTGGGGTGTCAGTGGTGCTGACAGAGCTCCCCCTGCCCTGCAGGAGGCCAGCTGCAAGAACCACCGTGTCAACAGGGTGGTGTTCCTGGGCAGCACCAAGAGGCTGCTCACTACGGGTGTGTCACGCTGGAACACGCGGCAGATCGCCCTGTGGGACCAGGTGGGTGCTGGGACCCCTCCAGCCCTGCTGGGATCCCCATTCCAGCCCTGCTGGGACCCCCATTCCAGCCCTGCTGGGACCCCCATTCCACTCCATCCCTACTGGGACTCACGTTCCATCCTTGCTGGGACTCCCATTCCATCCCTGCTGGGACCCCCCTCCAGCACTGCTGGGATCCCCATTCCAGCCCTGCTGAGACCCCCATTCCAGCCCTGCTGG